GTTTGTTTCTGTAGATTTCTTGTGACTAATGACTCAAAAACTAAAATCTAAAACAAGTAAAAAACTTGTCAATCTTAAAATTCGACCATTTGTTCAGCATTCAACAAACTGTTAAGTATTGTTTGCTAATTAAAGCTTTACGACGCGTCCAGTGGGCTGCTAAGTGCCGGAGAAACGGCCATATCTGGCGCCAAAACCCGCCGCACAGTGGATCGAGTCAATTAAAGAGGTCGAAAATGAAATTTTTAACTAAAACTGCAAATTTTAATGTTTATTTCGTCACAATTTATATTTCTAGGAGTGCTTGAAGAAGAAAATGTTACGAGAAAACCAATGAAACCTTTCTTAAAACCACAAAGTTTTGTATGAACGGAGTTAAGAGCTTTTAAAAATTCCAAATTTTCTCCGACCTCTCCCGTTGACTCGACCCATTGTGCGGCAGCCCGGCGCGAGGACCGGGGAAAAATGGCCGATGCGGCGGCGCAGCTGCGGTCCTCCGTGCATCACACACGGACGCATTTATGCCAAAAGGGACTATGTGTATAGGATTCGCGCAGAACATAGTTCCTTTTAGCATAAATATGTCCGCATGGCGTCGCGTCGCGGCGCATCAAGTCGGTGGCGGCTCGCGGAACGCATTAAAGTTGATCCATCGAAACTGAAACGTGAAACTTTAATCAAGCTTAGCGGCTTTATTAAATCACGTGTGCACCGCCGCGACGCGACCCCGACCCTGTGCACTGTGCACCGCCGCACAGTGGATCGAGTCGATAGGAGAGGTCGGACAAAATTTTGAGACTTTAAACGCTCATAACTCCGATTACACAAAACTTGGAGGTTCTAAAAGTGGTTCCATTGCCTTCCTAGTAAAATTTTCTTCCAGAAACACCCCTTGCAATTTAAAAAGTGACGAAATAAACACCAAAATCCACTGTGCAGCGCACAGTGGATCGAGCCAATCAGAGAGGTCGGACATGCAACTCTTGACAAAAACCGCTAATTTTTACTTTTATTTCGTCACAATTTAATCTTAGAGGGGTGCATCTTGAAGTAAATTTCAAGGAAAAAGCAATGGAACTACCATTAGGACCTCAAAGATTTGTATAAACGGAGTTATAAGCTTTGAAGGTTTCCAAAGTTTTTCCGACCTATCCTGTTGACTCGGTCCCTTTGTGCGCCGCCACCGGGGAGCCCGCGCCCGGCCGGCTCTGCAACCCGCAATGCACGCTCGCCTCCGAATGGAGGTCACCACCGCCAGACGGGATGACCTCGAGCACCCCTATGCAATCGGAGAGTATGAAAATGCTCCCGTGCTAAAAGGAAAAACGCCGTATGAGCATTCGGATGATGCCAAATTTCCCCATAGAAAAGATTTTCGCAGTTTTATTTAGAGCCCCTAAATACTGAGAGTAAAGACAATACGAATTCATTTCTGATTGGTTCCCGTATTTTAGGCATTCACAATGTCACAAACCGGAATAAAGATTAAATTTTCACCGATGGCAAAGATTATAAACTGGACTGGGCCGGGGAATTGAGGAAACGGCAAGGAACAAACGGAATGAGATGGACCAGGGACAGGAATTCGAGAGTGAGTTGACCAAAGATTTCAAAAAGCGTACCATTCGTGTAATCTTTATTCCCGTTTGTGAAAACCATAAGCCGTGTTGTCTTGTCTCTCTCTCTCTATAAAGGAACTCTAGTTTTATTAATATTACTTTTTCGGGTTTTTTACGTGCGCATCGTGTTGTACGCGTCACTTACCGTCGGAAAAACGTTTTCGTAAGTCGAAATTCGATCATGGTTTAGTGACCGGTTATTCGATTGATTTAACCGAACTCATCTAGTCGACATGATGTTTTCACCGCTCGGCTGACAGAAGGGCGTAACTATATTTTGAGATGAGCCGTGGACAGCATTGTGTTTTATGGACGGCAGGGCTCATTGCACAGTGTAGCTGCATCCCTACGGCGGGAGGGCCATGTATTGTCTCTGATTTTAGTACGGGAGTATGCCAACGAGAAGCAGGCCGTCTACTTACTTACTTTTATTCGTCCTGTATAGAACACGTTTTGATACTTAACTATTACGTTCATCGGCTTTCTTTGAAAAACGGAACAATAAATTAAGTTGATTCGACGGACGCCATTTTTTGTGTCAGAGTGAAGTGCGATATATCGCTTCGATTCGTCTCATAATTTCAGCTACCTGTCATTTTTTTCGAATTTTGAGATCGCAATTCTGTTGCCATGAGACTGAAGAATTCATGTACCAAATTCGACAAAGAAATTCAACGTAATAAAGACGTGGTTTCTTTAGAGGAAAAATATCGCATTCGAGTGGAGTTTCGATATCAGTATCGAGAGTGATATTTTTTCTCTGAAAAAACCACGCTTTTATTACGTTGAATTTCTTCGTCTTTTGTACATTCATTTTTTAGACTCATGACAACAGAAGTGCGATCTCAAAATTCGAGAAAAATGACAAGTGGCTGAAATTATGGAATGAATCGATGCGATGTATCGCACGTCGCTCTGACACAAAAATTGCGTCCGTCGAATTACCTTCGGATAGTTTGAAACATTGCAGCCAAAGTGAGTATTTTCCGTGGCGCCTGCGACCGACCTGGATTCACCGGGAAACCGCGGAAATAATAATGGAGTAAAAAATATCCGGAAAAATCAGAGAATGAGCGTGGGGATCAGTGCTGAAAACCGAACATTTCCTCTTTCTTCGCTCCGAGATCAATTTTCCTTGAAAATAGTGATATGTGTAGAATCGGCTTTAAAGAATCAGTCAAAAGACGAAAAACTCGATTTCCTCGTAAATTTGGGATAAAAATCTTGTTTACTCAAGAGGATCTTGAGGAAGATGAGAAGAAATCCCGAGTTTATACTTGATAATTTTTTCGTTGAATGAAGGAAAATCGAGAAAATATCAGGGAATGAAAATAATCAAGTCTTCCAGACACCATGGCTGTTTTGTGACTTACATCATCGATTTGGCAGCAGGTGTGTCGGGCCTCGTGCAACTGAAGTTCGAGAATTTTTTTTCACACGGCGGGAAAGTTTTGACGGCGAATGATTTCACCCTGTCGAGTTTGACGTTTGACAAGCGTCGTCACGCGGGTCTCGAACGTACCCTCCGACCTCCACCCGCTCCGATTCTTCCGTTTTTATATCAGTAGCGAGGCCTAAAAGATCGATTATCGATATTTCCCCCATTTGAAGCTATGGTAAAGAATCAATCGTTAGGTTGTTCGTTGCGAACACATGTTTATCGATCTTTTTCCATAAGTTCAAATGGTAGATCAATCGATATATCGGAAAGCACGCCACGCCACTGTCTTGTATCGCATGTGCCCATCCCCTCGCAGATATTTTCGTCGCAGATCAACCAAAAAGCCATCGAATGGTAGGAGGATTCGTCCCTTCAAGAGTTTTTTGAACGACGTGATTTTCCTCGAAAAATATCTGACATGTACTTTTATTCGAAAACATTGAAAACATGTGCAAACATTTCAAAATCATGAGTTGAAAAATACTGACTCCGCTGGTTTTAATATTAGAGCCTAACACTGACCGGAGTGGCTGGCGTGCTGCGGAACGCGCACGGGCTCCTACAAACCTAAAGGGATACTTCACGCATTGCGCAATGCTTGAAGTATCAAGTTAGGTTTGTAGGCGCTGGCTGCCGGCGCCTCAAGCAACTATTTCACAGCAGAGGTGGTGCACAGTATCATACGAAATTGAAAGCGCTCAAACATATTCAGAATGACAGGCATCTTTTAAGAGTTCTCCTCTAGATGAGCTTTCCTCGCAAAATAAATCAAGATACTTCGGCAAAAAAAGGGTGCAGTAGTCCAAAAACTCACTAAGTCATAGCATCCGTATTTAAAAGCGTTAAGCATAATTTTTGAACTTTATCAGAGGAAAAAGTGACTCAATTTAGGCAGAAAAATTCTTGAGTATGCCGTCAAGAGGATACTTTTTTAATCAAGAATACAATAGCTGAATGAAAGCGGGGCTCTGCTTGAGGAAAGTGAATTTTCCTTCCTTGAAAATGTCTTCCCCACATACTACCTGCACAAACTCAGTCAATCGCAAACTATTTAGAATGTGGTACTATAAATAAACCAATTCCATGTTACTTTTCTATGTTTTAAAGTGCTAGGTTGCCGGCCAGGTTGGCCTAGTGGTTAGCGCGTCTGACTCTAGGTCAATAGGCCCCGGGTTCGAATCCCGGTGGTGGCGACAAATTTTCATGGAACTGACGAGTGGATCTGTAAGCAGAATTCGCTCGGCCTTAATCCGTGAAAATTTGTAAGCCCGAGCCTGGATGTCTACCAAACTCCCTGATGTCTTCGGACAATAAATAGTGCCTATAGATGGCTGTAGATTCCTAAAGGAATAGAAGCCACTAAACTCTCAATAAATAAATAAAAAAAAAAAAGTACTAGGTTATTTTGCATGTTTGACGCGTAGTCATACGCTTTATAATGACCAAAATCGTCAAATTAAAGTCTTTGACTAGGGATCAGAATATCGGTTAGGTGCTTTAGTTTCTGAACGTGCTTTATCACTTCATCACAAAACATCGGCTCCAACCAAAAGAAGCTTGATTGTATTGGGCATTGCCTAATTTCTGTAGCGTTTTAATTTTTTGCCCACAACTGACGATCGAACATTCAACCACGCGTGGGGTCATACATTTTGTGGTTTCGGAAATTATTCGGAGGATATTAGAGGGTTTTACGTCTCCTGGTCGTCGAGTAATAAATTAAAACCGAACCGTAAATTTGGCAACTTGAAGTGCAGTTAGGCTGATTCTGGTTTAATTGCCCATCCATATCTTAATAAGATTTAGGATCGCGTGCCAAAGTATGGACTTTTCCTAGGTTACCCCACAGGTCAACTATTTCGTCTGCTGTCTAGCGAAAATCAATCTGATTTCCATCTCTTCAAAGAATTAATACCTTGCGTTTTCTTCTTCGGTTTCAGGATCAATCTTAAGATTTGGAGAAAAAAAGCGATGGGGTGTCTAAGGAGATGAAATCTCATTATGAGGTAAGTATCTTACTACGAACTCGATTTGTTTTCTTTTAAGTTTCAACAGCGTTATTTTCTCTGAAAATAAATGGCGAGGGTTCGTCTCAATTGCACAAAGTTCGGAAGTTATGAGGAGCGGTAAACTTAGGTGGATAAGATGTAGCCTCATCGTCGCTCACCAGTGATATTCAGAGTTATCCCAGCCGAAGTGACCATACCTTTACAAAAAACTCCACGGTGAAAAATACGAATGATAAGCATGGGTTTTTTCCACCCCAGTTAACGAAGTTATCACAGGATAAAAGAGCTACTCATCTGTTTGTATTATACGGAGAAGCGTAATTCAATCAAAATATTGTCTGGAATCAGAAACCAGAGGGTTGATTATTGCAATTAACCTGCAAAGCGTTAGACAAAGCGATCGATAAAGGAGACAAGAGGGAAATGGAGTGATTAAATTGGTTGAAACGGGTGATTCTACTACGCAAAGAGGAAAAATGATGGAAGAACTATGGGGTGTCTCTTGAGTTGCCGTTAAGTTAGTCTATCACTTACCTACTTTTTCTATTGCAACCGCCCGCTTCCACCAATAGGATCGTTCCATTTTCCTTCTTGCGACAAATCAAATTCTAAATGATGCAATCGTATTCCAAACGCTTCCTGAGAAACTTATGAATACTTTCCGCCCAATTTTTCAAATACTTTTGCTCGCAATTTCACCTGAGGTGCCTGAGAATTTCAAGGAAAAATATTCATAACTTGCCTCAAAACTGAACATTTTATCGAAGGAAATTTGGGCAACTCTCGAATGTTCACACGGCGTTTTTTCTTAGCACGGCAGAAAAAGTGTCATTCGCTTGATAATCTGTGTGAAGATCGATTCCTCTGGCGAATGGGTGTCGCAGAGCGCTCTAGCGCGCTGAGGTAGCGACTTGATATATTTATATGTATCATGAACTCGAAAAAACTAAGACTTGAAAAATGGACATTAGCGGTTTTCGCACGTCCCGATTCAATTATTTTCGAAAGAAGACCACTGAGTGGTGAAGGCTGAGCTCACGTATCAGGAAGGAAGTTAGTGAGTCGGAGACAAATGAAGGGATAAATGTTGGCAAATATTAATGGGAGCGGACATGGGTAGGAGGAAGGGGGGAGGGTGGCGGCGATCGTGAAGATGGGAGGAGGGCGAAGGATGTTGGGAGAAAGAATGAATCTTGGATGATGAAAGATGACTCCATCCCGGAGGGCAAGTGATAATCCCGTCCGAAGGAATAAGTTTCGGCAAGATGGAAGTGCAAGTGGAAGTGGCGAGCCTCGGTGTCTCGGACTGAATTCATTCTCCGTGCATTTGACAGCCGTGAACATTCCCCACCGCCGTTTCAACTTCCGATAACTTTCTTCACGACGGAGCGCGAGTGCCGGTTGAGCAGAAATTTAATCACCGCTGTATTTGTAGAGCCAAAGAGACCTTTATCTCCAACCTGACGGATATGTCGCAGGCAAACACTGGAAAAAAAACACATTGGATCTAGAGTTCAGACTCTTAAAAACATCGAAAAGAAAAAATACTCTTGATCCAATCGGATTTTTGCTTGAATCAAGAACCAAGCCTCTTAATTGGAGCGGATTTCCTTTCGATTTAAGCTTAAATCTGATTGAATAAAGAGTATTTTTTCTTGTCAATGTTTTCAAGAGTCTGGACTCTAGATCCAATGTGTTTTTTTCCGGTGAATAGTGAAATCAGGCATTTTGTCAAATGTTTAGGCAGATAGTTAAATTTTGACGGTTTACACAATTTTGTGAATTCGTGGCGAAGAGCTCACGAGTTTTCAATATTTTTGGAAGAATAACTCATGAAATCTACGAACTCTTTTTGTCTCTTACACTTTCAATTGCTCCTTATATTTTCAAATGTTGAAATTCCGAAAATTCTGAATTTTATGACATGCTGAAAATTTCAAGATAAATGACTGCTCAGAAGTTAAAAATTGTTTAAAATACTATTATGCAATGCAAATTTTTACTTGGAATTTTTTTTCACATGAGCAATGAATTATTTTATGTAAAATTAGGAAAATAATCAAAATTTCAAACTAAGTTGGAATATTTGACTATTTGCCTAGGCATTTGGCAAAATTTCTGATTTTACTATTCGACTGCGACAGATTCACTAGGGTATTTTGCTCTGTCATGAACATTACATTTTGGCACTTCAAATGTCCAAAAGGGTTAATTATTCGGAGTAGGGGTCTACGAGTCCGGCATTTCTGAAGAATCCGGTTATAGTTCTAATTTATTAAGGGCGGTCCGGAGGTACTGAAAAAGTGCGGAAATTCTGAATGAAACTCCAGACTTTTTTCCCTCTTGACTTTTAGGGTAATATTTGCCTCCAAGATCGCAGTGTCAATCTTCTGGCCACCAACAAAATTTGTGCCTACGTCATTTTTGTCGCAATTCGAGCGAGAATTTCAAATTTTCGAAATTGTTCAAATTTCAAATGGGAGGAATGGAAAAGTGCTGAATTTATCTGTCGAAGAGGTTCTGAATTTCTCGAGATTGTGCTGCATAAAAGTACTGATTTTTGGCCAGCCTGTTTTAGTATGCACCTTGCGGAGTGAAAAATGTACCAATCTTTTTTTCAGTGTTCCCGGGAAACGACAAAGCGACCATTCTCTCGGTTAACAGTCACTCTCGTTGACTACCGGCGTATGTTAACCTTAACAAGCTGCTCCGGCAACCAGCAGCTAACAACCCGCCACGTCACTCGCGGTCGGAGACGCGCCTTTGGCGCAGTCAAACGCACGCTCGCGCGGGTAATTGGCACGGTCTCGGGTGTCACTCGCGCGAGTAGAAGCGCGAGCGAACAGACAACCGACCCCGAACTGAAAGGGAGCTCCAACTCGGCTGATTTGATTGACAAACGCGATAATACCCGGGCGGACCGCGGAAGGAACGGCACTCGACAAAAAGATTAGCGTCCCCGACACTCCCGACAGGGAGATCGAAGCGACGCAACGCCGCCAGCCGTGAATCCAGTGTCGAAGCATTTAAACGTTCGTTGTTTCGGGCATTGCGGCGCGGGGCGGCGGGGGACGCTCTACAGCATTATTTAGATGTTTCCGCATTAATTACACCGGACCGGAAATATTTACGTCCCTGGGTTACACGGCTTTACGTTCTGAATGGCCGATCGCGGCAAAAGCTATAATTAATACCCGTCCCGCGGTTGCCGAGATCGCTGCGACGGGAATTCCGCCTATTTCGACGGTGATGTCGAGAGTGTGAACGCCCCAGGAATTTGGGGCTCTACTCCGTTGCTTGTTGCTCTTCGGTGCTGGAATGTATCCGTGACCACAGGCAAGGTTAGTTATGGCCTAGAGTCCCTTCATACTGAGAGTCAAGACAATGTGAATCCATTTCTGATTGGTTCCCGGATTTTAGGCCTTCACAGTGTCACAAACGGGAATAAAGATTACATTTTCACCGATTGCAAAGCTTAGAATATGGAATGGACCGGGGAATTACGGGTTCGGCAGGGACAAAAAGGAATGAGAGAAGGAACGGAGAAAGGAATCTGAGAATGGGCCGAACAAAGATTACAAAAAACGTTCAATTCCTGTAATCTTCATTCCCGTTTTTGACTCCATGAGGGGGTGTTGTCTTGACTCTCAGTTATGGCCCAGGGGCCGAATTTGTCGGTCCTTCCACCGTACTTAAGTGAAAGCCCGCGTCCCACTATCAAACGGACTCATCAAATGCAAGATGGCAATTGTTCGTCGACATTTGACGGCCCGCAACTTTTGATAGCAGACCTGCGTGAAAACCTGCACGCATCTCCGCCATCTTGCACTTTATAAGTTCATTTGCTGGTGGGACACGGGTTATACTTAGGATGAGTCTGGACTGACCGTAAGCCCGGCTTAGCGCTTCTGCGGGCTGATTCTTGAGATTCATAGACAAATTTATAGACAAAGAAGAAATAGGTTTTATGGAGCGATCCTATTGGCTGGAATGGTTGAATCCTATCGACTAATATAAGGGAGAAAATGATAGACTAACTGAAGGGTCTCTCGTGGGCTGTCATTAGTCTATTAGCCACCTCTTTTGTCCATCGCAAACCCAAAGCCACTGATAGGATCTCTCTGCATCCCTTTTGTCTTCTTTGTCCGTAGCTATGTCTACCAAATCATCCCGCTGATTAGCTGGTGATGCGGTTTGGACTCATCATAGATGTTGCATCCCCGTGTGGAAGAGCCGACAAAATTCGGCTCAGTGTGAATACGCCTTGTTACAAGGTCGGTATATGGAATCGTGTCTCATGACCGTAAAAAATTCATTCACAATGGGTCAGTCGCCCTGATCATAGAATCGTATCTTGATGCTCGACCCTTGCAGATTAGCTAAAAATAATAAGATCTGTCCAAACAGCAACTTCCTACCCTCAATATTAACCGAGACATCGCCCTTTCAAAAGTCGAGTATTTGACGTCATCTAAAACGCGGTGGTAACACCCTTGGTTTCTTCCACATTGCTTTCATCAGTCGGTATGTGACGCACATTTGCACTGGTTGCTCAACGTGAAACTCGGCTGAAAGCAAGAGGGAAGACACCAAGGGTGTCATTACCGCGGTGGATGACGTCAAAAACACGACTTTTCAAGGGGCGATATCTCGGTTAATATTGAACGTAGAAACTTGCGCTTTGGACGGATCTTATTACTTTCAGCTGATCTGCAAGAATTTAGCATCAAAACTCGATTCTGCGACCAGCGCAACTGATCCATCGGCAACCATAATTTCTGGCTCAGTTAAGAAGCAACGTAAGTACCAATAGTGTCTCTGTGATCATAGGTGTTTTTCTGGATGAGCCGGGCATTGTAGTTCTTAATTGCAGAATGTAGTCCAATTAAAGGGCTTGCAGTAAAAAGCACAAAAACGTGTAGTTTTGGAAAAATTGAGATATTCATGACTTCAGCCTGATTTTCCCGATATTGAGGACTGTGAGAAATTGTTGAATT